CGGGTTTGATTGTGATGCCGGCGGGTTATGCGTGGTTTATGAATTAGGTTTGCTATAGGACTCGACCTTATTGACATTGGATCCATCTTAAATGCATGCCTCGATGCAACGATGATAACCGATGAACACTGAACAGTAAACAGCCATGAGACTTCATATCACCACATTCATCAGAAACGGCTGACATTGGATGTAACTGATACCAGTCGTGAACGGTCTGCTAGTTGCGACCTTGATCCCATCCTTATCACATTCAACCAACCGGCAACCGCCACATCGCGAACGACCTTCAAGGATGAACGCGAAAATACCGTTGTCCATCAGCCCGATAGCTCCCACCGCGGGGCGGCCGCCAGCTCTAAAAGCCTCCCGATCTAATCAGCGCTACAATCCGGCGTGCAATGAGGCTCGGTGGTGGCTCTCTGATGTGCTGCTGACCGCTGACGGTGCGAACCGCGCTGACATGCCGCCGCCGACCGGCGCCGACCGCACCGGGACGGGCCAGTGACCTGACGACAAGGCCGCCGCCGCCGCCACCGCGCCGCCACGTGTGTTCTGCGGGCGGTGGCCGGTCGGAGGCGATTTCGCAAGGCTGCCGGCCGCCCTGCGGGCCGTAGCGGTGTCGTCAATAGACGGCCGTCCACGGCGCGTGGCGTGACGGTCGGGTCTGTGTGTGTGTGAGTGGGATTTGTAGGTCATGGCCCGAGGCGGCCGGACGTGAGATGGTCCGCTCTGAACTCGGCTAATAGCGGCGCCTGATCTGATCTCAACGTCACACCGTCACAAACTGGTCGGACGGTTTAACTTCTCGATGTGTTCGTGGCCGCTGGTTAGCGGTTCAATGACACTGTAAATGAATGATATTGTTTGCTGAAATCTGAGTCTATCAGTGCCAGGGTAATATTCGGTATTTTTTACTAATCCTGTTTTTGTTTTTGTCTGGAAACCAACAGGCAACAATGGATTTTTAGTACTGATTGGACGATGGACAATGGCTGTCGCCGGTGTTGATTCTGATTCAGAATCTGAATGTCAGACGACGAGCATACAGGTTATCGTTGAATGCGGTATAAAGCTACAACCCTGTCAGCCATATGGGATTGACCTGGTTCGTAGATAAATTGATTATGAAATGATTCATATACCTATACCAGTCACTTGACCCCTCGTCGGCTCCAGGGGGGGGGGGGCTCAAAATGCAAACCGTCTAAAGTTTTTTCGTGAATATCTCGAAAACGTTTAAGATTGGGCTAAAAATTAGTATGACTTCGTGTTTATCCTTCGGACAAACTGCCACTCCAATTTTGGCTTGCTTTCAGTGCCTGGTTACCTAGTTATGACATCATATACCACCTCATGTCTGGCTGAAATCAGCGGATTTGTGATCTGTCTGAAGTGCCTGCCTTTTAGTATGTGCTTCTGCGTTAGTGGCGAGATAAATGGTAGGTATGTTCAGATAAATAGTTATGGAACCGCGATAAGTCTGCCTCAAAGTCAATGCAATGTGTGGCCATGTCATGTAGTAGAGCCTTTGCAACGGCTAGGGGGGGGGGGGTTCTTACGGGTTCGAATCAGTTATATAGGTATTATGTATTGTACATATATCTATTCTGAGCCACATGATAATTGCTTAGCGAGACATTGTTTCGCAGATTAGAGATCATCCCTTCGACTGAATTTTATGTAACTTGTGGGCCTTTTGTTTGCTCTTTTACCGTTTATTCCGACGGAGCTTTTTTGTGAAGCTCCGCTCATTTAGGGCCAAAACTAGGAATTAGAAAACTAACACATCACGGCTCGATACATGCCTTTTGATTGAACGTTTCTCATTCGTTCCTCATTCTTTTTATTCAAGATGATTGATATGAATGACTGTAATTTTGCCCTCATGACAACATCAAAGAGTTTGAGTTGATGCATTACTCACTGGTATTCCACCATATCCACCTGGCTATGGGGGATATGATGACGTCCCTCTGACGTCATCAACAGACGGCCGTGAGCCAAGGTCGCGTAGTATGGACGGGTGAATAGCAGTTTTCCGTTGGCGGCCCAACGTGGCATCTTTGTTGGCTGGCTGGGCCGTTCGCTGCCTTTGATGCTGCGACGGACTGTGGATTTTGTGTGGAAGGAATGTACACTGAACACTTCCTTGATTAGTATGTCTATGCTAATTTCACATAATTCGGTGAAGCATACAAGGCGCAGGATTTTACAACCTGCGTAATTTGGTGATGGAACTTTTAGCTGAGACCATAGGCTTGGGTTCAAATTCAAGACTGACCGCGATGATCGAAGCAAACGCTTCAGCAAGGGAGGGTATGATTCCTTCTATGTGCCTAGTCTTAAGCTTCCTTTCGGTTGCTGGTTCATTTAGTATTGTTTATTATTCAGGTGACAAAGAAAATTTCGCTCTGCTCAAATGTGCTTTAGATCTGAAAACATGCTTCCCTACTGGAATGACGTCTGGCGACTGGAAGCCAATCCAAGGAAATATCATACGTCCAGGTAACATCAGTGGTCTAAAGTCTCGTGATGTCACCTGGACCCGGACAATGAGCCCCTATCTAGTTGTGGGTCTCGGCATCTGCTAGACAGGAGGCACCTCAGCAGCCATTGTCTGATAAGGGTGTCTGGGAGGGTGCAGCCGTCACCCCTCACACCCCCCGGGTGCAGGCAGGTTAGTCACCGTCGATCCGACCAGCGCGGGCGCCGCGGGCACTCCAATTCCGTGACGTCACCTCCAACCGTCAGTCCTATGAACAGCCAAGGCCGACCCAAGGCCGCAGCCGAGGAGCGCCTCCCGGAACCGCGCCGACCAATCACAGCGCGGCGCTGAGCTCATCTTTGTGACGTCACCGGAGACCCGGCCGTTAATATGCATGCCGTGTGCCACAGATAACCTCTGACCTGGTGGGTTGGCTCGCCGATCCCCGTCGCGGCCGCCTGGAATTATCGGGAGGTGACGGGATGCCGCGCCTCCCCTGTCTGCCTCGCCGCCGCTCGGCCGTTGTCACCACACCTTGGGACGCTGAAGAGTCACCTTCGCGAGCTGGCTCTCAAGTTCATCTTCAGATGCTTTGTCAAGTTTTCTAAAGGGTAGCTTAACAATGTCGGCCCATTTTAACAAGCGGAGGAGGTAATTCCATTCTCTACAGAGGAAGAAATGAGATGAGACAAAATACATGAATGTTACGCAAATCTAAAAAAAAAAACGCACACCTACCTGGTAAGCGATGTAGTTTTTCGCTTAACCGAAGGTAGGCAGCAAGTAGTTCAATCTATAGCTGGTTTTTAGCCCAGTTGGGACTTTTTAGCCTGGCGTAACCAGTTTGTGTAAATTGAACATTGTAGTTGTTTATCGCTGTAGAGTTCTTTAGCTATAAACAGAAGCTTACCCAATATACCCTGTCCCTGAGCTTACCTGTACAGGTATAAAAACAACAAAGGCCGACTACTGCGTAGTTGAAAGTTTCTTCTCTCCATAAAAAGTGTGCTGACCTCAGGGGACATAGAAATTACATAGGTTCATGAACGGGTAGTGCACATAGGTACCCGATGGCTAAATGGTCATGAACGTGTTGCAATTTCAGTATATATTACATAGCTCATGGTTTCACATTAAAGTGTTTATCACACATTTTGTGATTAATATGCCACTCAAGTGCTCTTCAGTAAAATTATGCGTACGGCTGCAGAATCTGTCATACTATCGACCAACTTGATATGCAATCTGGCAGGTGGTAGGCCGCGGCCAGCGGGCAGTGTGGACGTCCCGTAAATTCGCGACTGGTTGAGATATTATCGGCATCCCGATCTGTTTTACCGCAAAAAGATCACCGATACAGGACGAAACTTAGGCCTGGGATGGATAAATGATACATATTTGGCACATACAATCAGAAAAAGTAGTGGCATTTACACAGCAGGAGCATATTTGATCGCGAGAAGAGCGATTGTGATATTGCTTAGTAATAAATTTGTATTTGTTCTTTCATTTGCCTACTGTGGTGGATTATTGGGCTTGAAAACCTGGAGCAATATTTGAGGAGGATTGTCGATCAATGCAAAGCTGCACATTGTGATTTGTGATTACTTAATTTATTCGCGACTTACCATGTGGATTGATAAAATGACCCTATCGGATCTTTTTTTTTGGACTGGCACGCCTTCCAGAGCTGTGTTAGTCAGGCCACATGTTCTGCCACTCCCGTCATATCTCACGCAGGGCAATCAGTGACATAATCTGTGTTCGCTGTGTGCCCACAGTAGTTCATGAATATCCTGTGATCCACGCGGTATTTCCTGCGTGGAATGACCTGGACGATATTCCAGTACCTGATACGGGGATTTCCAGGGTGCGGTGCTTCCGATGAATCACTCAGGTGATCCAGGCCAGTGAGGAGACATGTTTGTGGCGGCATTTCGATGTTGCCGGCGAGGAGTTTTTGCCTAGGTGACTGTTCAGAATTCCAGCTTTTTTGACCCGATCATTGTAAACAGTATGTGACAGTGACTGCATTGCATAGTGTGAAGGTAGCACCAAGATTACGAGTAGCACGACGCCAGGTGACAATATGGGATACGGACTGCGGTCATCCGGAAATATACTGAGCTGGTTGTTAACGTCACCTGAGCGCATCCATGTCAATCTATTTATATATCTAATCTGCCTTATGCTTCTAAATATAACCACCACAGCTGCTCGAAGTGACGACATTATTTATACCCGTTAAGTCCGAGAATTCACGCTTCTCTGCCCTTATCGCGTCAAATCAGTCGCTCCGTCCCTGCAAGGTCGCTGCGGAAGCACCGGGTCGTGACCATTCTGTGACGCACGGAGCGATGCCGAGAAAAAGGTGCTTCTGGTTTTGGTGAACTGGGTCATCTCTGGCTCGGCCGGTCAGCTCGGTGAGGAGGGAGGGGGCGGGGCGGGGTCACCGTTAGCCCGCCGCCGCCGTGCGCGCCGCGGCGGCGCCGCCGGTGCGGTGCGAGCTGGTCACCACCGGCGCCGCCAGCACTCAGTCCTGTCGTGTCGGCCGACGGAAGAGGACGCGCCCGCTCCCGAGCGACTGACTCACACTCTGCACCGGACAGACTCCAGTGGACACACACCGAGATGACTCGCTCAGGTGAGAGACGCTCGTGGTGTAGGGATTGGGTGGATGTGGTGTGTGGAACTATTTGTAAAATGTGGATATCAGATAACGATCCACGTGACACCTGTCACAGCCATGTGAGTGACACGTGTCATGGCTTTTGTACCGATCTTACGTCAAATGTGTGATTTGGTCACGGAGCGTCTCCCAGCAATGCCTGCGAAATGAAAGATAGAAGCACTAAGTGATTAATAATTGCTTAGTGTAATTAGATATGGGTAGGTAAATTATAGACCATTACTGGATGATTTGACTTAATCGCTTATAAATCAAATCCGATTGTTCATGTCAAGTGATTGATTATTCACTAACTAGTGACTTATCAATGAGATTATCGGTCGTCACGTTTATCATTTCGGGAAAGCGGAATTCTTATAAGGCATGGTGCAGCCTTATATTATATCACATTGTTATTGACCATATCTGTGGCTGATTCTCCGTTACTGTCAAGCTATTCACGTTCTTACGGTCTATCCACTAACCCAGGGTGTGTAGCTGACCCAAAAATATCCTCTCCGACGTAAAACGTCAACTCATCAAGAGCGCGGTCTCCACTTAGAGCTGATGCATTATTCATCCCCGCCTATCCTGGTCGGGTCATATTTCCACCGCGTCTCCGCCTATCGATCCCATCTTGGAGACATGTGACCGGAGATGGCACGGTGTCACCGTGACTATCACAGGGGGATGGCAGAGTGACACTGCTGTCAGCTCGCGGCCCTCCGCAGACCGGACGGACGGGGAGGTCCCATGAACAGCGAGTACCATGAAACAAATACCTTCGCGGGGACACTACCGTCTCATCGCTAACCGGGCACTAGCGCCTCTCCTGGTCCTTTTGCGAAGCCAGACCGGTCTTCTGATTTTCCATGGAGCATACAGACCCTGGGTAATGTCGCCTCAATGGGTAGTGTCCCGCGTCCGTGCCCCGTCACCTTCACAAGTCCTGACGCTCGTCCGGACCAATAGCCTCCCCAGCGGTCGACCAGGTCATTGCACCGACAAGGGGTTGCGCCATGCGTTCCGAACGCGATGCATTTCATTTGCGGGCACGTGACAGGCGTTTGACGAGGGCACGGCACCTCAGCAGCGAATACATTATTCATAGGAAACGCCTAGTGCATTGGTGCTTGCATATAGAGGATCGGCAAAATGGCTCGCTCTGAGAAATGACGACTGGAAGTCATGATACCTTTCGGTGTTGAGTACCGCTGAGGGGCACGATGCGTCTTTCGTGTGATAAAATTTAATTGGATAAGCTGTTATTTAAACAGGAGCAATGAGCTGTCAATTTTTATGTCAGGTTTGATGGTGAGATAAGAATGATTTATCGTTATGGATTCATCATTTAGTCGGAATGAGTCATATTTGTGGCATGCACTTACTGGAGTGCTGAATAAGTTCTCTGCCTAACTGCTACGGGGGCATCTTACGACCTTGACTGGGTTTTTATCAGATCGAGTTGGCCCCGGCCCCGTGACACATAAATACGATACGATAGCTGTTATGAATGGTGTCCCGATATTCCAACACTCAGCGGGCGAGAAGGCCATCAGTTACTTATTGTCAATCACTCAACCGTACAATCAGATCTCAGGAGGCGTCTCCATCAAACGTTGTCACCCTTTCTTTATAGCGCTGCGACCTTGCGTTAGAGGTCCAGAAAGGTGGCAGTCCTTTGAATGTTTAACTTCAAAGAATTCGCTCGTACCAAACATAACAATATCATGATAACAGTGCTATATGTGTCCGATCATACGTTCGTCAACGCTGAACGCCGAGTCGTTCTCGGTTTGACTGACCGCCGTGTCTCCCTGTTCCAGCTGTCACTGTTGTGGTGGTGCTGGCGGTGGTGATGTCCTCGCTGCTTCACCAGGGTGATGGTGCCGTCATCAAACCGTCCACAGAGAAAGCCACGAGGTGAGTTGGATATCGAAGAAGAATGGTAGCCGAGACTTGCAGAGAAACGAAGACTTTTAGGGAGAACAGGGCCTAACCTCGGCTATAGCATAACCGGGGAAACAAAAAGGCGTAAATGGAAATCATGAACTAAAGTTTCTTGATCGATGGTGAACTATCTCTTTGTGAACTAAATCTTATTGCCAAAGTATGCCGTATTTTTGCTTTGTGCTATCGAATATATTGTAATATTGCCGTCAGTTCTTGTCTTGCCCGTCTTTTGCTCACATTCCTTCTCCTTCTCTCGCAGCTCGTCCAGCACCACAACTCCTGCGAAACAGACTACCAAAGCGGCCACCTCGACCACTGCCAGGACTGTCAGCAGCAGTTCGACGGAGAAGGGAGCGTCAGCGAGCGCCAGCGGGCAGACCGGGGCGCCCAAGAAACCCACCACCACCACCACCACGACACCGTCTCCCCTGGCCGACTTCGAGGCCGATGAGTTGATCCCCTTCAACGGCCATCTGTCAGCGTAGCCGTGGAGGTTATGAGATGGGTTGGCGCTTGATTGGAGTTGTTTTAGTGCAGCTCAGTTTCAACTCGGCTGGGGGACCGTTTGGCTGAGGGAATCGCTTTGTCGGGATCGTGAAAAATTCCGAACGGCGTCCTAAACGGTCGATGTGATCGTTCGGTCAACTGGTCGATGTGACCTCAAGACCTCGCCCACCAAGCATTACGAACGAATGAAGTTCACAGGGTTCCTGGATCGTAGAAGTTACGGTCCTTGAAATTTCCAGAACATCTTGAAAGAAACTGGTCATCTTTATATGATACCATGAACTATGGTTCTAGTATTATACTTCTTGACTGGCCTTGGGCCGTCGATAGGGGTTTGTCTGGGCATCAAACTGTTAATTGGTTACGTCCTATAGTTGTGTGAGCGTTTACAGCTGTGTAGGATGTTCCAAACACCGCCGTATAGGCTGTGTCAGTGCACTTGATCTCGCGGTTAGCCACCGGAAGCCGAGTTCTACGGTCGGGTGCCAACCGCGCTCAAAGCGACACGTCCGCGTCCGTTCCTCGCGGAAGTAAAAGTATCGTCCGCTCCTTCGCGTTTGCGTGAGTGTGATATTCGTCACAGGTTCGCTAGCCCAGCCAGTGACTGCCAGTGTGTTGTGATTTTGAAACATGGGCATCTTGGGTGAGAGCGGTATATGAGCGTGAGTTATTTATATATGTAGAAGACGGTCTGTGTGGATGAGAGAACTGTTACGGGTGAACTCTATGTACACTGTCACCTGCATTCCTTCGTCATTGACATTTTACTGCGGTTATGAGACGTTTCAACAAATAGTGCAGCAATGCTTCATGAAATTATCATTGTTCATTTATGATGTTCTTCTACGTAGTAACCGCCGTTCTATTCGAATGTTTTAGTCAGCCTGCTATCATCGTTTCAGTGAAAGTCTTTGAATGCGAACAGGGTGCTTGAATCAAGCCAATGTGCAGTATTGCAGCTAGAAGGGCGGTGTGTTCTTGTAAAGTGTGTGAACGTGGCATTTTGTTCAGGTTTTGGACCAGTTCTGAAGAGGAGTTGTGAACTGGAACAGTACGTTCTCAGCTCAATGGTCGCTGAGCCTCTGGCAGGCATGACAGCATCACATGACCATGAATATGTACTGTAGCCCTTGAACGTCATGCATACATTGTTCGTGATAAATACATATCGTAGATGAAGAAAATCAATTTGTGTGAACTTTGGAGATATTGGAGCCAATGCAGGCAATTTGTTTTTACGACCTTTCCTCGAAAAATGCAAGTCATGAAGGGTTAAATGAGATTCTAAAATACCACTTTGTTCATAAAGGTGGTTTGAACTCAAACATTTGAAGCAAGACAAAGTAAACGGTTCTTAAAAGAACATTTTAACTTTAAAACCATGCGACAATAAGGATACATTCATTTTGAAATTCTTTGTGTCCAATACATTTTCTAATCTACTCTGCTCTAATGAATTTCTTGGAAGCTCTGAGCTAATGAAGCTCTGAAAATCTCTGAACTGCTGAAGCTCATTTAACTCGCATTCGGTGCCGTTGCTGCTACGTTTGTCTAGACGGATTTTATCGTGGTCCGTGAGCTGAACTCGACTTGCCGCCAATGCTGTGAACAACACTTTATCGCCCGATCCATTGTGTTCCCCAGTCAAAACGATCGCTCGTCAAGGTCGAGTCACAAAAGCTGGCACCGCAGTTGTTTTGGCGTTGTTTGAGACGACAATACCTCCCTCACGGTCACCTCGTAAAAGGTCGAACTCTTGTTGAGCAATATCGTAGAAGGCTTGCTGATTGGATATTTCGCAAACGAACGAGGAAAGGAGCGCGCATCGACGGAGTAAAAGATCCATATGCTCCTCACCAGAACCAGTGTGGTATTGAGGCTTCGTGGCAGTAGTGTCTTCACCGAACATCAAAACATAGTATGTCTGAGGACTTAGTTTACACAGTCATAGCTAAGCATGTACATTATACGTACTCGAAGCGAGCGACACAATCGCCCTGACAGAGGCTGCCTGTCCCGGCCCGGCGGACAGAGGCGCCATTTCACCACGGTTCCTCGCCCCTAGGGTGAAGCAGGCTGGGGGGACCAACTGACAAAGTTCGCCCCTACAGATCCTATATTCGGCCGCCGCACAGTGCTCGAGCACCAGGAGCGGCAACTCACAAAGCTTGGACATGAAATACCAGCCTCATTTCTCCCGTCACTGACATAAAGCCCCGACACAAAGTACTGACTCAAAGTGAGAGCTAATGTGAATTCAAATACTAAACGGAACACAGACGTGTACACCTTCACTGGCACTTACATCCTAGCTCTTCAATGCGCCGCCTAGTTGACTTCTTTGGACTAAATGCAAGCCCACTGACACAAACGACCCGTGAATACACCTTGAACAAAGCTTCGGACGAGCAGACGTACCTCACAAAGCATAGAGCACACAGACACACAAACAGACGCTCGAGGTGCAGTAGCACTGAGACAATGCCTCTAAGTTTACACGTTAAATGCCGTTGTATCGCTCATCAAAAGCGACTAATAGACCACAGGCAGGCGGCGCTGAGGCTAGACATTTCCCCGAAACAGAGCAGGACGCGCTTGCCACTAGGACGACATTTCACCGGCGATTCTCTGGAGATTCGTAATCGAGATTCGTTACTGGATTTGATCTACACTCGAGGCACTGAGACTTCCCCGATCTTCGAGAACGCTCTTAATCAATGGCTTCGTTCGGTAGTGGTCACTTGTCAATATAAGGTGGAGTCATATTCCTACTTTACAGTTACTCTCACAAATTACAACTGACTGTAAAGCATCTCAGACCAACGAATAATCGGCTGTCGAATCGTTCCTGCACACCTTTTCAGCAGCACTGATCATCATCGATTCAGACTCCGACCCTAGACTGGTGGTTTGTGACTTACAGTCCTCTTCCTCCACACTCGCTATTAAATCACTTCACACCGACAGGAGATTTATCCAGCCCCTAGGCATCAGTCCGCATTGTCGCTGTGGATAATGCCTTTCGTACCGTGCCCTCGGAATGGAAGCCGTTAGCGGGGCTCAGGAGCTGATTTTGGTAGTCCCAGCATCATCCCGTTCCACACCAACTCACTAGCAATAGCTCTCTGTGAGCATCGCTACAAAGCCGCCACTACGCGTCTCTTTGGGGATCATCGGACCTGGCAGCTCGCGACTCGACCTGCGCGCCATCTACAGCGACCTGCGCGCCATGCTCGGCGACCTGCGCGCCACCTGTCGTTCAAAGGATGAGACACAGACCAGAATCTCTGGACCCCGCAGACCAAACACGGCCCGGAACCCCTCCCAGCTTAGACACCCACCGGCAGACCCAATTAGTCGCTCCGTAACTCTACACACATCAGCCCACACAAGCATTCAGTGGACAGGCCGGCACCCTATGCACCTTTCCGCCGCTTTGCTCATTCTTCGCACACACGCCACCCAGTTTACTCCACTCATCTTTCACACACATCACACCCCTCCCGGCCCTCCCCCGCGCTGCCGGTCGCTCGCTGAGACTGTTGAGATGCAGTGGATTCGCCCCTGACTGGGCCCGCAGCTCACAGCCGCAACATTGCCAGCGCGGCGACCAGGCACGCCACCGAGCCGGCCAGCGCCGCCGCCGATGACGCCGTGGTGACGTCACGCTGACGCATGAACACCGAGTCGATGACGTGGATGTAGCCGTTGGTGCACTCGACGTTGGAGCGGGTGACGCGTGCCTGCATCCCCTGCCACTTGACCAAGTAGCCTGTCGGGGGTGGGAAGAGTGGGTCAAATAATTGACCAAACTTGGGCGGTCTATATTGTGGAAACTTAAACTTGTATTTTGACGACTGAAACTTAGGTTTATTGGTCGGTTGGACAATTCTTGCTGAAGTTTCGAGCTAAGAACGGAGGGCCTCCGTAATCAGTGACCACCAATCATGAAGTAAAAGAAGTAACACTGCACAAGTGGCTGGTACACATAAGTTGAATGTTCTAAGAACGATTAAAACGTTGTGGGTTAGGTACTTCAGCACAGCCTAAGACATCCTACAGTCTGTATAACTCTGAATGTGTAGGGTGTAAATCCAGCCATTGATGTTACGACATGATGTAGGGAGACATTCCAATCAACAGATGATTAATCAGCTACTTGAAGCGATGGGATAGCTTTTCTGTTTCTTTTCGTGTTCGGGCTAAAACAACCTTGCTCAGGCGCCTCAAAAGACTGTCTACCGGAAGATGAAAAATACAACACCACAGCGGAAAACGAGCGCATGTTTACTGATTGCTAGCCGAGCATTGCTCTTGGACGTTAAGGGATCAGGTATACGCATACTGCATGGTATCAGTCCAATGCAGGCAACTAGCTACATGGAAAAGCAGCATGTTTGTAGAGCTGGCGAATTACCTCTCATTCGAAACCCAGACGCTGCAAAACACAACGTCGTGTAAAAACGAGCCACGCTATCGCAATCAGCCTAGGCATTGGCCTGTTATCGCAAGATGGTAATCACTAATCAGCAATCAGTTACTAAGCCCTTTCGAATGTATACCAACCTCTCCGAAACCATTTTTTAACTGAGGCGAAATATTCAGTGAATAGCACCAACTGCAAGTGAGAGAATCAACTCACAAGATCCTAATCGTGTCACCAAGTGCGTACCTGACATTCCGGGTGCATTCTCCACATGGAAAGTGGTCTTGTAGAACTTCACGCCGTCTTCCTCTTTGGACTTGTTGACCAGGTCATCCATACTGAGCGCCTCACCAATCAAAAAGTGACGCTCCAGAATCGTGTTGGCCTGTGAATGTAAACGCAATTTCAACAACGAGATCTGCAGTGGCGACCGGATTTCAGAGTGAAAATATTCAATCGTTCATTTATAGAGCTTACGATTATTTTCAAACTACTCCCGTAGATAGAAAAAGATCAATCAGACAGATTGATCGACTGATCTGTGATAGATCGACAAATACATGGATCGATTTGACAGGAGTTATCCGTACCGGGTGCGACGCTCGTCCCTCGAACAGCGACTTGTGCGAGGTCACGTACTCCATCTGAATCTTCTTCCACGCATCATTGGACGGGACGAGCATGGTGAACTTCTTGTCCATTCGGCTCACACCCTTGGAAAACTTGGTCTGCACCGCCAGGGTGTTGGTATCACTGAAAAACGGTAAACGTTCATTAAATATTAAACGCATTTTAAGTATTCCTGTGGACGATTAAACCGAATCGTTTAAGAATCACAATCAACTGCAAAGCACTTAACAAAACCAAAGAAAAAAGCATCCTAATAGCTGCGTCGAGACAAGGATTGTGCCAGCAGTCGATAAGTATCGCCTAGCATGCCTTTCATCCCCGTTTACAACTTGGTCCTTGATGACTGAGAAAGGAGAGTTATACTTTGGCGCTCTTAACTTTACGTTAATGCAACAACTTTTGTCTTACACGCATTACCTCTCGCCCGGGCAGACTTGCGACACGGCTTACATCAAGAGCACCAATTTATCAGACCGGCATTCCTCACCTCATCATGGCATCGACTGCCAGTTTCTCTCCGACGGAGCGGTACGGCACGCCCAGCAGCTTGTCGATGATGTGGATGACGCCGTCGCGGGCGGCGATGTCGGCGATGACGACGGTGGCGTTGGTGCCGCCACCCTCGACCGTCATCGTCTGGTTCTTTCCGGCCACTCCCCACACGGAGAGGTAGAGAGAGCGGCTCTGGTCCTCCGAGGGCACGCTGAACAGCTGCGGGGATACAGGAGGGTGGAGGGCGGTGAGGCCCGTGGTCGTCTGGGCTTGAAGATCATATAGGCTATGCATTGTGGCAATAATAATCTGTATTGGCATTGTGTAGCAACACACTTCAGATGAATCATAGCACAAGAATACCGTGCCCATACTCAAATACCGCATGGTAAGAAAGAGGTAATAGCTTTTACTCGATTAGGCGTTAAAGGAGCCTGGAATCTGACACCATCTGCCCCCTAGCGGTAGTGATAAACATTAGAGGCAGCATTGCGGCACAGCATAAATTCAGGCGCTGACTACTGTTGCCATCTGTTGGTAGAGCTGTAAGCTCCTGCAACGGGGCACATCGTCTCAGCTACGTAACTAAGTGTTGCAGCCAGATTGCTAATAAAGTGGCGTTTACTCATTACTGCACACATGCTCGCTTCCCAGTGCAATGTAGACATTACAAGTGTATCCTAAGCCATTTATCTTCTGATGCTTACCGTCGCTCCGGGTATTTTTCTGACGTCCTGAGTGGTGACCCGGGTAGGGACCAGGTGCAAGTTGAGGAGCTTCTTCAGCCTATCGGGCGACAGCTTAATCTCCGTCAGCCTGGGAAAACACAATCAGTTAATTGAATATAGGAACTGAAGCGTTTATGAGCCGATATTGACACTGTAATCATTTCATGAGAACGTAACGAAAGATGGTGATGATTAGGGACTTAGGCAACGGTAGCGTTACATGATAACCATCGCGGTGCCGGCACAAGAAATTGCACTCTTGTCAACGTCCTGTTATATTTGAGCTGCAGGTTCAAGGTGATCCGACTGGTTCCCATTAATCAATATTCATTAGGCAACTCAAGTTGTGTATATTACAGTGTGCATGTCAAATGATGCATTTACCGCTTCTGGTCGACGGTGTAGAAGGCGTCGTTGGACGGAATGAAGATGGTGCCGTCCGTGCGCTGCCGCAGCGTGTCCAGGAACTCGGGCGCATTGTTCTTCAGCAGGTCGAAGAACATGAAGAACCGATCCTCTGACCCTCGCTGGAGAGAAAAAAAAAACATTAAATTAGTGGAACCTGCCGGCGTTCATAATTAGGTTAATCGCTTCATAGCACGTATCTAATCACGTTTCTGACAGCCCCGTTGAAATACACTTGTGTCACGGATGAAGGCCGCTGAACTTTGGCTGAGTAGCGCCTTCCAGAAGAATAAAAACTCCACATAACATAACCAGACTGCAGACAAACGGTAGATTCACTCATTGTCAGGCGAAGAAAAACATCGCTTAGACTCTTGACATAATCATGTGGCCTGTGGCCCCTGGCCTATGACCACTTGACCTCTAGCTTCTGGCCTCTGGCCTCTGATCTCTGACCTCTGGCCTCTCTGACCTCTGACCCAGCAGCCAGCCTCACCTGGATGAAGTCGAACGCCGAGTTCTCCATCACCATCAGGGGCTTCTCGATCAAGTGGATGACGCCGTTCTCCACCGCGATGTTGGGTTTAACGATTTTGGCCAGCACGGAGCCGCTGCTGTGTTCAGCGTCACCGAGAAGGGTGCGGCTCTGAATTTCATCTGCAGGCGGCGCCAGAGACACGGGTCAGGGCAGGTCGGCGGCGTGGAACGGGGTCACAGGAGGGCAATTATTGTGAAACCACAGAAGGCGGCCTCGGTGGTTTATTGACCTGTTAACGATGCAGCTTTTCTAGAGGAGATAATGCAATGATAAAATAATCGTGTGCAACGGTATGGATGGGCAATATAATGAAACATGACGCAGGTACCAACAGGCCAGACCCAAATAATGTCCGATACGCCTCAGCCGCCATAAGATGCATTATGCATGCACGGAAATGACCATGAAAAGCAGCGAAGAAGACTATCACGTAACAGTGAAATAGCATATAGAAGAGATATGAAAACGATGATATAAAATTGAAGCTCAAATAAAGGCACAGTCTAGATCAACTACCTCTTTACTTATCTCAAAAAGTATGTCCAAGCACTCACAGAGCTTTTCCGGACGTTTCACCGGCGGTACGTACTTCTGGACTTTCAACACTGTCAAATAAAACAAGGAAATATAAGAAAAACGTGCGCATGCACACCAATGCCAGTCGTGTCAACACTTTTCACGAGCAAATTTGACCATGCTGCAGGCACATTGAGCCTCGACAGAAAACAGTCGTGCAATTGTAGCATTGAAAGATGAAGAGTGACCCAGGACCAGTTTGAAATAAAAATCAGTGGAACTTGCAAAATAAATTGAAATAAAAATAATGAGCAAAGCATCACTGCCGACAAATGATTGAAGAGACAGAGCTAAACAGCGAGGGAGATATCATCATGCCTCATCTCATCTTCCAGCATGCGTCCTCCCACTCACCGCCAAACTGTCCCCTCCTATATGTCTGGCACCCTCTCAATCGCCAGCGTTCTGACATCTTCACCCCCTCTACCTTCTCTCTCTCTACCTTCTCTCTCTCTCTCTCTCTCTCTCTCTCTCTCTCTCTCTCTCTCTCTCTCTCTCTCTCTCTCTCTCTATCTCCCCCTCTCTCTCCCTCTCTCTTCCTACTCCCTCTCAGTCCCGTCCATATCTGTCTCTCCGTCTAGCAGCACTCACAGAAGGAGCCGGGCGTCTTCTCCGGGTAGGGCTGGACTCGCAGCTGGCCTGTCACCTTCAGCATGTCGCCGAACGCCATCGTCTCGTAGCTGTCGTTACCCATGGTGCGCGTGAAGAGCACCTTGTTGGGGATCATGTGTCCGTCCACCACCACCCTGTCCACATCCGTCTCCACACCCTGTGGAGTGGACAAAACGAGTGAATGGTGGAAACAGCGCGAGCAAGGTTAGAGACTATCTAGTCTGCAAAGTTAATGATTGGTTGCATAGCAATTAGCTGTACGGCATTTTTACAAGCCATACCTTAACAATTCAGCTCTTATACTTTCGTTCTCTCATCAAAACATATCACATGATGTGCAATAGCATCATATAACACTTGGCCCAACCGTACTTAACCGGATAATAATGTTAAGCGATATATTCAGTTGCGTGGACAATCCACAACATTACAGTTCCATTTTCCACTACCGCACTGCCGTCCAGGCTATAGTAATTAACTGATAATCGATTCTGTCGGTCATCAAACGACCGCTTACGTAATTGCTACAGAGTGGGGACGCATATCAATGGAAACGATACGTCATAAACGCTCATTGCCATCACTAGACCGACGGACATTGACATTTTTGCGATTATACTGCGCAATGGTGATATTAGGTCGCTGGGGTAAGGCTGTAAGGTATATTGCTTGACAAAAAGTTTCATCAATAAATGTATTATAAATGAGACAACTCAATGGATAGGTAAATAACAATTATAACTGGATGTCTAGTTTTTAAGTCATTTAGAACAAAGCCCAACTCACCACTCACCAGCCAACGAATTACGAATGTACCAGCTCTGCATACATATTCCAGTGGATGTATGCTGCCTAAAGGTGCGTCTCACCTGCATTCCTGCGTCCACTGGTATAAAATAGGTGTGAAACTCGGTGGTTCCGAATACACTTGTCTTGTCCAGATCCTGCACCTTCTTGTAGAACTTTCTGAAACGCATAGTTATTGGGCGTTTTTATCACAGATATTAGTTTACATTTACTATTGGCACCTATCAGTGCTTGACATGTGCAAATTAAATTGATCATTGAAATGATATCTTGTTGAAATATTTCGTCTGGACGTGGTTAGGGCAAAAATTGTCATTTCACTCTCAATAAACATAGGTTTACCAATCAATTCCTCCAAGAGGCGTCTCAGGAAAAACAATATGACAATAAATGAATCATGCCATCTCTAAAGATTTGCGGCTAATGCAGTGATGTACAATTGTAAACGACTGGAAAGGAAACTCACTTGATGCTGGACTCTCCAAGACTGTATTGGGCGGAGTCGCTCAGTAACTTCAGTGCGTTTGGGTTGTAGTACCTCGAGTTCTTGTTGCTGGGAATGGTGGGCTCTAGAACTTCATCGATAATGTGAAGATACTGGAAAAAAAGATACAGGCAATAATAGTGTCTGTTGCTCATTGCTCGTCTCATTCTCGCGTGACCGTTTAGTATTATTCGATACGTTGCGTCTTTTGATGCTTAAAGTAATTACCCTCGGTATCTAATATTCATTATGTATATCTTATGAATATTTATATTTGTCAGGGATACAAATGCTGGAAGAGCTCCAAAAATTCCGTCATAATTGCACACCATTGGACAAGAAAAAGAAAATTTAAAGGGGCATTCAGTCACTATTTTCCTGGGAAAACCAGCGAAGCACCCTGATGTGCGAGCCTCCCATGGTGTAACATTCAATAAATTAAGTGTGCCTCTTATAGGAAACTTTTGCACAACCGCCAACGACGCTACTGAGTGCAGAATTTAGCATTGGAATGACTGAACCGTTTCTGAATTTGGCACAGTTACTCACCTGGTTTGAGCCGTCCTCTGAAGTGAAGGCCAAATCTCTGGTGACGATCCGGGCGTTGTTAACGAAAATGTCGTCCTCGCCACCCCGCCGCTTCTGCAGGCTGAAGAACAGCTTCTGATTGCCCTTCAGCGAGGAGCCCTCGGACTGTTTGTTCCGCAGCTGGGCTGATGTCATGGCACGGTTCACTGCCGAAAGGGATAGAGAGATCAACAAACGACCCAGGTGCCGGCCAGATGCATCCTCATTTCTGCGAAACTTCATACAAGTTTACATACTACACAGTCTAGAACCCAACGACTTCAGATAGATTTTACAACGATTTTACAAATTTTAAATGAATAGGGCTGTACTCAGCAGCTCAATCCCCTCCGGCTTTACAATAAGGCATGAAAGAAACGCTTGTTTGTTCAGAGAATAGTGAATACTGTGCCACAATACCCACAACATACATGATACTGCGCCGCCATACCCCGTCTGGCCAGGCGGCGCTGGTGACTGCAATCCAACATAGAAGGGTAACACACGTTCATCGGTGACGCCTGTGATCAGCGAAAAGGCCGAAGGGCAGACTTTATGCATGTTTTATATTGGAATGCGCGCAATATCAACACACTAATAAGTCAACACTAGCTGTTTTCACGACGGGCTATCCGGCGAATGCACCTAATTTGACCAAATCTGCACCTAATCTCTTTTACAGCAAATATCTTCGTTTTATGAATTTATATCAGTGTTTTAATCGATGATGCTCTCTGATAAAATGGCAAAGCAGGCATATAAGCATTTTGTGCAACCCTAGCTGATAGCTACTAAGAGACATACCTACTGCACCTAATTTGACCAAATCTGCACCTAATCTGCACCAGATGTGCACCAAATGTGTACCAGATGGCCGTCGTGAAAACGGCTATTGGCTGTGAGATAACCCTGCAGATGCTTTTTTTATATTAGGCATGGTTTTTCCTACTTTTCATTTGGTCATTTTGCTGTCAGTATATTCCAATGCGCTTAGATAATAGGGGAGAATGACGACGACCATAATATGTCTGTCACGCATCAATATCCTTTTTAAAAAGTTACTTAGACTGAATTATTACCTATTCAATCCACTTCACTTCTTTGTTATCGTAACTAGGTTCATACTAACTACATATAACCACGTGACGTTTCATAAACTGCCGTCGGCAGCTAGCCAGCCTAATGCACTCGCCTCATCACCGCGCCGGTCACGTGACCAGCAATGGCCGGAGGGCAAACCGGCTAGCCTGTTTCAGTGCGGCATCGACGTACAGGATCGATAAGTCCAGCCAACAAACAGAGTTCAGTCGGTATGTCGGCGGACGGCGGCGACTGGCCGGCGCCGCCCACGGTCGATCCAGGGGGAGGTGAACGCCGGATCGACAGGGGAGGGTCGCGGGGTCGACGGGGGAGGGCCGGGGGTATTTACCGACCCCCAGAGACTGCAGCTCAGCGGTTCAATGCGGGAAAGCAGATAAGAACCAGGGGACTGGGGAGATTATGATATCCCGCATAGTAATGGGGAAAACGCCTGGAGCTTTTTATGAGGTGATTAACTCATGTCATTCTATTCATTGGACGCTGTCTTGACACAACACCTGTCAATCTCTTTGATTTCCAAAATTATCCCCACACCTACACCAGACAGCGATATATCGCGAGCCGGCACGGTCAGATTAAGTTCCGCACTTCACGGTGACGCCAGTAAACTCGTGAGCGTCATCGCGGCGTCAGAGCAATCTGCGCGGTCGTTTCCGGCGGAGCCAGAGAGCGGAGCGGATCGAATCGATCGGCCGTGGACAGGTGGGCCAGCACTGACGGACACGGGCCAGTGGGTGGGTGGCTACGGCCGCGGGGGAGGGGGGAGGTAGAGACGATGGAACATGGACCAGTGAGCTGGGGAAGAGACCAAGGACCACGGACTAGCGGGCTGAGGGCAGATACTGAGCACTGAGCAGCCCTACTGTATGTGCGGAGCAGATGTTGCTGTAGATGGCTAGGATGATAGTGGAGTGTGGATTTGGATAATGAAACATCCTGACTGAGGAGCTGCCCTGGTTAGATACACCTACTCCCATATTTTACCAGGATCTTGACGGCACCAAACAACATTTATTTTGCTGCAGCGAGTGTGTGTTTTTTGTGAGTAGAAGGCTCAATCCTGGCCGAAGACAGATACATCTTGTCGATTTACATTCACACGCCTGGTTCTAATTTGCAGATCCTTGTCTTATTTCTAACTAGGCCGGCATTAGCCATTACAGCGCCGTATTTGGCCATATTCAATGAAATCTCCCATGGGTAAGTTTATAGCCTGAACGGCAAACTTCTGGCAAGGAACGGGCCTAATGCATGACATTTCATCTATCTGTCAAAATAACCATAGTTCTATCTAGTATCTAGATGAAAAGGCTTATTTGATCTCGGAATGGATGCATTTGAAACCACTGATCTTGAGCTTGGGCTTCTAAACTAAAAATGCTAACAATAATTGTATCAATTTTTAGCACAGCCGTTACTTAGAAAGTTACTTCCTCCCTCGTTATAGCGCCAATAAAGCCAGTAAATGTACAAATATTAGCCGCTTTCACGACGACCATATGGTACACATTTGGTGCAGATTAGGTGCAGATTTGGTGCAGATGTGGTCAAATTAGGTTCATTAGCCAGATAGCCCGTCGTGAAAACGGCTAATATGTAGATTGTAGACTGTAGAGGTGTTGATACCACGAAGAAGCTCTCAGTTCAGACACTCACCCAGGTGGTACTGGATGTTGACATCCCCGCTCCCCCGGACCTTCTGCAGCGCTGCGTTTGTGGGCGCGAACACAGTGCCCTCAGCCCGCCTCAGCGTGATCGAGAACAGTTCGCTGGCGTTGATCAGCTCGAAAAACTGAAACACAAAACACAAAGGGAGTGTTAGTAGCTGCGGTACGCCTTCATCATGTCAATGTTGAGCTTGTATGTTTACTGAATGATCTAACATGCCGCGCTCATTACGTAAATTCGTAACTTTACGTCTAAACAATCTAGACAAGCAACGATGAACATAAACACTATTACGTTTGTAACAACGACTAACTTGCAATTTACGAGTATTAGGAACTTTTTTGCGTCCTCTGTTAAAGCTCTTGTAATTGTGTCTAGCGTCATTTCTTTTCTGCACTGATATTGACAGTGCGCACGCACATTGCACAATCAATAACAATTTCCAGTAATTAGCAGTCTTCCATATCCATCATCCAATTACTGGTGCGGAGAGACACAGGTGTGTTTATACAGCGGGCCAATCACCCAATCACCGTTCCCCGCCGCAGTTTGGCCGCTCAGTTACAATACTGCCGACCGCAGGGTGCGTGAGGGCTGACAGCGCGGTCCGTCACCCTACCCCGGCAGAGGAGGGCCGTGTGTGTGTGTGTGGGGGGGGGGGGTGTAATGACTGGGGTCGGCAGAGGGAAGGGTACGGCTGGGAGCCGCTGGCCGGGCTTCAGGTGGTGCGGTGGCCTAACCATGGGTGGACAGCGGCCATGGCAGGTCTGCAGCGTCGCTCTTACGCACGACAATAAATGGGAGCCTAAGCGGTCTAAGTGACGAATAGATGTTCATATATCGCGAGAAATTTAACAGCAAATAGGAGGCTTAGTTCCTCCTAATCAGGAACCCTGCTTTTATGATTTTATAATGAACGTGCTTCCATATTTATTTGCAACACGTTTTTTTAATCAAAAATGCAGAAACGCGATTGCGCGGTATTTCGTTCCACACAGGCTCATGTTAGACGCGAGGCATTCTAAATTTCTTATAAAGATGTCATGTGTAATTCATCTTCTAAGTCAGCAAGTTATTCTTCCAATGACCTTCTATTGACCTTTCGACGAGCGTCCCACCCGACCTCCGAGCCGCGGCCGTCTGTCAGGGGCTCCGGGCTGCAGTTCGCCCGGTCTGGCCGCAACCGCTGGCGAGTTTGGCCATAACCGGCGAGTGGGCAGCGACTGCCGGCCGCCTGGTAGTGACGACGGCCGACCCCATGGCGGCCCCTGCACCCCCCCCCCCCCCCCCCCTACTGCCGACGATGCCAACTGGCATCGATCGACCTAGGTCGGCTGAACTCCGTCCTAAAATGGTCGACAAACGAGCAGCTCAGCTGAAGCAGCGCTGGAATGATGGTCATATTTCCATGGAGCCACGAACTAAAACTCAATGCCGCTTTGGCGTATTTAAACATTTACAGCTGAAGGATCACGCATGTGCGCCCAGTACCTATTACCCGTAGGTAAAACGGTACTACAAAACCATGATGAATTTCAAATGCATAGACCTCTTTAGAGTGGGGTGCAGTGCAGTTGTCTTTGAGATGATCTTACAAATATATTGATAGTCACTTAGCTCCTGAATTCACATAAAGCACTCCACCGCTGCGGTGTCCCAAAATTTGCCAGTTTAGGTGGAAAGTGGCATTTAAATCAAAATAATTTTCCACTCTCACCTCCAATTTTCCCAAGCAATTTTTCACTCCCTATATACCTATATTACCAATAAAGAGCATCTGCGAGTACCTACCTTTTACCTCCCTCCATATTTGATTAACCTATCTTACCTATAAATCAGCTCCCACATCCTCCGAAATTCACAAATAAATTGTTGATCCTTGTTTCCGCTCTTTTTCTGTGCAATTCTGACAGGCAACTTTCCACTCTCAACCCTCTTTGTAGTGACAAATATTCCCCTTAGACACCCAAGGCAAAATATAATTTTGGGACACTGCGGCACCGCACCCCATCCTGTTCCTACTTCCTCCATAGCCGGCGGCGCCCTGGAAGCACCTGGCGGGAGGGGCCGTGGTAGGCGCATAGGAAGCACCGGAACGCCTCAGGGCACAGCTGCACCGGTCGAACCGTGAGCACTCTGTTCCGGACGGCAGGCCATCCGTGAGGTGGTCACGTGACCGGGGCCGTCGGCCGCCGACAGAGTCACGTGGTCGCTGAGGCGGCGCCGATGACGATGATGGCGGGGGTAGCGAACGGAGGTTGACGAGGGTATGACGGATGACACTCGATGATGGACGGCTTTAGACGATACTCCCGGAAATATTCCATCTCGATGGTCGAAGTAATCCTACAGTAAATTTCGTTGGATTCATTGTCTTCAGCGAACATAAATACCTTATCAAGTTCAGCGGAATGTCATGTGATACCCGGGCAAGTTTGCCTTCTCCGAAAAGCCTAACCGATTTGCCAATGCAGACCGAGCGTGTCTCCGAGTGTCCAATACTGTGAACAACAGCAAGCATTACCCTGAAACCAATCACCATAGTGTTACTGATAGTGACGTCATTGACGTTTGCAGTCAGTGACGTCACGTCAGCAGACCGGTCTCGACAGACCAGACGGCGTCGACGACGGTCGGAGACGACGCTCCCGACGCGGGACGGCACTGAAGGGGCCGTGGTCGTGGCTGGCAAAAGGGCGTGGTCGATGGCATTAGGTCATGGTGGTGAAACCCCTCTGGAACGTGGGTCACTTGGTGCGAAAGTTCGGAGGATCATTCGAAAACAAATTTTCTCGGGTAAATGGTATACCTACGCTGTGGTTTGCCTCTTCTGCTATGCTAATGAGGCAACATACTTCATTATAGCCGTGTATCTGAATCCTGAAAGATTTTGCGATCTGTTGATGTGTCATGTGTAGGTACTTAACCCTCGCCCGCACATGCCATTTTCCCATCCTAGAACGCACATGGGGGGGGGGGTGGTTGCCACCCCCCCCCCGCGCCATTTCGTTCCTGTTGGAGATAGAGCTTAGCAGTAAAGACCAAAAAGATTCTTTGGGAAGAGACGAATCCAATGATACCCAGTTTTACCTTCTCAGGTCAGTCATTGACCTTCCAGGTCAGGTCAAACTAAAAAATGTTGCTGTTTTGGGCCACCGTTGGATATCAAGTGCGCTGCTTATCAAATACCGATGACGATGCTGTTTTCTGGTGCCAAGCCAGCTAGAACCTCTTTGTCACACTATCCGACCAGAATTTTGCTGCTGAGGTCATTTCAGGTCAAGCTAGGTCAAGGTCAATTATATGTGTTTGTATGTCTGTGTGTGTCTGTGTGTATACTGATGTGTGCACCGATTGTTTTTGGGTCCATATCACATGAAATCATGATCTGAGAAGCTTTTACCAAAAATGCAGTCAAAAACTTCACAAAAAGTAAATTTAGCTTGCCTAAAACGCAATTATCTTAGATGACCTAGGTTGACCTTGACCCTGACCTTGACCCCTGTACATCGTCGAACAACGTGTTCCATAATAGGTGGGAGGTAAGACTGGCAAAAAAGGCCGAAATCAGGGTGTCAAAAGCTCACAAGGCCCATGGCAAACGCAAGATGTTGAGAATTGGCCATTTGGGTCATGACATGACCTGAAAAACAAGGTCATATCTCCGAAACCAAAAATCACAGAAACTTGAAATTTTCAGTGGACATCAAGAAAGGATAGACGAGCAGCTATACGAAAAATCAGCCTTCTAGCTTTAAAAATGTTGAGTGCAGAGCAGAAAGACTGCCTGGGGGGGTGGCAACCACCCCCCCCCCCCCATGTGCGGGCGAGGGTTAAGGTCTCACAACATGTTCAAGAGGCTAAGTAAGGGTGCTTATAACCAATGTAGATGCAGCGGAGAACGGAGATCGATGCACAAAGAAGGGAGAGCCTGGTAAACAGACAGCGAGACATTCTCTCGTTCCATGCGCCTATTAGGTCTTGTTTGGAGAGCGTCAGGAGCAAATAGACAGAAGGAAACGAGACAAGGACTGATCGCACATGGAATGACCTTATTGTTCTTGGTGGCTTTTGGTGTAGGGACGGACGTAAGCTTAACTGATCTCAGGCAGCTTTAAGAAAATTGTCAGGGAACTCAGATTTATTTTTCAATAGAAAAACACAATTCTAACGAATAGTGTTTTAACATTTAACAATTGACAACAAACCTTCGATTATGAAAAACACGAATTTTCTCGTCTTTTTGACATCTCGTCGTCTTTTGACACCTCACGACATTCACTATCAGTAATTAACCACGCATTATAATATCTAGCTCATTGGCCATTGCTCACAGTAACTACAACAATCGAAATGTGTTTACTCACATGCCTCACATGTGTTCCATCATAAATTGCCGCTCAACAAACCAACGATCGCCTTGACCAAATAATATCCACCATCGCTCCAGGAAGTCGGCTCAATTTCACAGATAAGACGGCGGCGTGTGCCTTCCGCGCCTTCCCCGCAGGGAAAAAACTAGCACCTCTAATGACCGTTCAGGCGACAGTCCAGCACCTCTAATGACCACTGTTACGATCCGTCCCACCCACTGTTTCATCAGGCATAATTGCCGCCTTCCTGAGCCTATCACGCGACTGATTGGCTCTGATAACGTGTATCTTCGATCATGGTATGCACCCCTGCCCGAGGAATGGACGGAAGGCGGGCTGGGAACACAAAAACACCTCCGCTCCGGCCCTTACACCCACCGATCGATCGGGGAGAATTTGTTCTGCTCGCTGGCACTCAGCTCATCCTACCGGCATTGCTGTCTAACCTCTCTCCAAAACTCCTGTACACTGCGCCCAGACCTGGTTGTCGGTATGTACTCATTGCTTATGCCCACTTTGCTCACATCCTCCCATTCGGACGGAGAAGTGTCTTCATCACTCAGGCTGCATGTTTGTCCAGACCTTGTGTCTGTCCGGCACTCTTCACGACTGGCAATCTACTTGGACACGTCTGCACACAATGCCACCGTTTTTACCCGCAAATGGCCGTCATCAGTCCACCGTGTGGCGCAAAAAGTGGACACCGTGACACCCCACTGGGCACCGAGTCACCTGACGGCCTCAGGCGCTA